GACCTTAGAGAAGAGAGGTGTATTCTCATCTATAGCTGTTTGCAGTTACAAGAGTTTATGCTACACATTTCATCAGTTAAAGGTCACATGCAACGCAAAACACAACTTTGCAGAATCTGATACCTTTCGGTATGGACTTACAGTAACAAATTATCATACATGCAAATTCAGCTTATAAAGTTGAAAAATAACGCGATGAAAAAAAAACCCCGCGAAATCGGAGTTCAAACGATTCCCTAATTTCACCCCAGCGCTGGGGTGAAATGTGGTTTCAACAGCTGTGTTGCGCTGCGCCGATAGCGCATGTGCAGTGATAAGGTTCGCGCGGCTTGAACCGGGAAGGCGACTCGTTAAAACACAGCAATTGATGCGTGCAAGGATTATCGCTGTGGTCGAAGTTGGAGAACAAAAGATGTTTCTTGTGATTACAAGCATCTTTGGTCTGCAGTAATATAAATACACTGGTCCCATACTTTTTTTCTTATATGTTTTCACATCTTACTTGTACACATGGCATGTTATTATGTCTGTGGGTTGCAAACAAACTGCATCCATTTTTCTCGGATGACCGGATCAGACGGAAACCGGTGCAAACTCAGATTGCCAGTTTCAAATCCTGCTTTGTACTTGAACGAACGACAGTTTCCAGCCACGCAGTAGTTCACCATCTCACCATTTGTTGATTGGATCTAACGCAAATGCAGAAAAAAATGAGCATGAAGTTACAAAACCCAACATCTCTATATACACACACACACAATGAGCCGTGAGAGCATCGGCAAATGAACCAGCCAATGAAAGTCATCGTTACACTTGAGTGCACGCCCACCCGCTCTGACTGGGTTCGGTCTCCCGGGTGCTTCGTTTCGAGGGAAGTAAACCCAAGTACCAAATATTGCACTTTTGATTAGCGATTGTATGCTTATAATTTTGTTTATTTGTTTTTTCACAATCAGCAATGTATATTATATGTCATGAATAAGTGATAATTGTATTTTAATTATGTTTGGTTTTTTTGGTTGCATGTGACCTTTAATCATTTCGCTAACACGTTTGTTCCAATCGTTGTTGAACGTATATATACACAATTCAGAAAACTAGATCCCCTGGGTAAATTCAAACAACGCTAACTGTATTTGCTACTACTAATAATTAGTAAAGCCTTATCGATTTGCCTGATGCCGAGTTTATTTGACTATACGCTGTGTGCACCGTCAACATCATCAATGTCATCGAGAGTCCACGTTTATTTCCACCGACTATTATTGGAATATCAATACAGCATTGTACGTACCGAGTTTTGCAACATAGATGCGCGGATAGACACACAACTAGCACGCTTCAGTGGCAAAGTGATGGCATTACTACGCCTGCTGTCAAGTAATATCATCCGGGAAAATTCTTTAAGGAAAAAGTGTTAAATTCTGAATATTTCGATGTAGTGTGACTTATAGCCTCAAACGTATCAGTCAGGGGTTCTTCTTCGGGTTCGTTTCAAATAGTCTGTGTTGAAACGGAACAAAGGAAGATAACATTCTCAGAGACTAAAGATATTCTTCGGCAAATCAAATTGTTCCAGTCCTTCCTGACGTCATCATTATCCAAGAGACATTCCTGTGACCTGAGAATAATTTTAACGTCATGGCTACGTCAGTGTCTACCCAAATAAAATAAGGTACCATCCAAATGTCACGAAACTTTACAGAGGGGCATGTGCAACATTTGTAAAACCATCTTTGTCAAAGTTTCTACCGAACTGAAACCAATTCATCATGGGGCATTTACTTTGTCAAAACAACAGAAATCACAGTGATTGGCATACATTGCTTAAATCTAAATCTTAGCGTTGACATCAAAAGATGACCATGAGCCCAATTGCATTTTTGCGCTGTTGATAGCTTGTGCAGTAAAGCAGTCTACAATCGAAAATGTGTGGGTTAATACTTTCATTTGCCAGTCAGTCTATTTAAGAAAAGTATTTCGTTTCCTGAACCAGAACAATATCTTCTAGAATACGGCATAACAGCTCTATTTTTACAGCAGAAGCAAATGCCAGATTAATGGCTCTTAAATATATTCAAAGGCACCTTAAACATAAACAATATATAATATTTTCTGATTCTCTTTCGTGCCTTCAGTCGATTAAAAACGTATCTGTTAAACATCCACTTATTGAAGTTACTGAATTATATAATGAACTTGCAACTGGCCAATTCGACATCTACTTTTGTTGGTTACCAAGCCATGTTGGCATTTCTGGTAACACAATGGCTGATTTTGCTGCCAAAGCAGCACTCAACAAATCCGTGACACCACTTCCCATTCCATACTCTGATTACAAAGCTATCATTAGATATTATATTCCTGATCTGATGCAAAAGATGTGGATACCCAAGTAGGTATAAATAAATTAAATCAAATAAAGCCAACTATCAGTTACTGCTAATTGGGTTGTCAGTCCAGATTTGAGGAGGTCATTATGCGACGATGTCGCATTGGCCATACTAGATATACGCATGAGTATTTGTTAAAAGGCGAAGATCCTCCGTTTTGGATCCCTTGTGATGAAAGAATCACAGTATTGCTTTTTCCATCACAAGGGATAAATATTTCAGTGTCAAAACAATTAAGGATCTTTATATACTAGCCACATAAAGAAACTGCACACAGACAATTCCTTCAGAATTGGAATACAACACAGAAAAGACGACATGATGTAGACACTTTATAAGCTGAAGTATCGGGCCTCAACAACATGTCACAAGAACATGAACAATATCCGTAACGATGACGTCAGAAGTTCAACATTGAGTCGGGGGTCACACGTCGAAGTCACAAAGTCAATAACGGGTATGACCATCATGCGCGTGAAGCACAGCAGTGCATCGACGACGAATAGAGGCTACCAAATTTTCGAAATGAAGGCCTGGGGAATGGTTTGGGACGTGATCACTGCCGTCTGGAACCTGTGTCTGATATGAGTCACCCGAATCCATCTGTCCTGTCTTGGCGTCGTTACTCGGGGACGCCCAGAACGTGGGTGGTCGGAGACGTCATTACTGTTTCCCTAACGCCTGACCAATGCAGACATCGTGTTACAATGGCATTGTAAATGTGCTGCCACCTGTTGTTGGCTCATGCCTGCTCGAACCATTCCAATGGCTTCATGACGTTGAGCACATGTTAATCTTGGCATGATGTGCATGTGACTTTTCATGTTAATTTGTGAACGTTTGTGAAAGATCAAGCTTTCGACAGTGACATGAATTTCTGAGTTTCACATGTTGTGTGCAGCTGCACAGGCTGCACGTGCAGTAACACATTGCAAGTCCATAGGCCACCATCATTGACGTCACGTCGCCTGGCACCTGCATGAGCGTTTGATTGTCTCCAATACTTGCTATGTTCACACCTTTATTTATGCATAAAGACGCTGTCTGCCTATCTTTATATTTTCTGTGTGCACAGTTTCTTTATGTGGCCAGTATATAATGTAAATTATCATTTAATACTTTTTTTTTTTTAAAGAAATGGAATTATTAGATAAATTTTGAACAATATGTTTTGTAAATAGATCAATGTCGTCTTATAAATGGTAGTATAAACTAGCAGCAACTACGAGTGTTAGTGGCTGTATCCTCAAAGGGGGTTAAAGTTTCGTAAAATTATTGTCCTCCCGAGTGGGTACGTAAGTCCCTAAACTTTCCAAGTAAAATTTAAACTTACCAGGCTTTTAAAACGTAGTATTTTTTAATTTTAAATTTCGGCTAAATTTTCCTGCAATCGCAAGCGGCTGAAGGGATGGTGTAAATCCAACTAGGGTCCATGCAGGTAGCAAAAGCACTGTAAGTCCCCATGGGCCCTTGTATGATGATCTACTTTCAGTTTTTTGCGACCTACAGCCTGTTTTTATATTATGCATTCTCCAAATAGTGCTATTAGCTTTAACTTCACATGCTAGTTTCAATTCGAAATGTGATATTCTACGACGACAGGTTTTATAATATATGCATATTCTTTATCAGCGTCAAATACAATTTACAGTTTCACTATTGCAATACACAATCAGTAACGTGAAAGACGTTCAGGAATACATATCTTTAAAGTAAATTATTTCTATAATGTAAGAGAAAGGGACTTTCCAAACAAAATTGACATCATGTTTAATGTATTTCCATTATGTTCTATTATGTTTCCTATGGAACTATGTTAGTTTTTTCAACATCAGTATCGATGTATATCACTCGCTAATGGAAGAATGAATTAAACTCTCATACTAAAATATATAAAAAGAAACTGTTCTGAAAGTGGACCTAATTGAGCGATAGTCTGTATAATAAGCATGTGCTAATAAATCAATATATAAGTTATTCAACTGTTACTATCATCCCAGCGACATGGCAGCTCCCTGTAAATAATCGCTTTTGTGCCAGACAATCAAATGAACAATATTGGAAACAACTGTTACTATGATCCATGCCGTTGTAAAGTACGATGACATACAATCAAAGAACAATATTGGAAACACCGATCCATGCCGTTGTACGATGACATATAGGTCACCCATGAATGAACACAATTTACAATGCCTACGTTTAATCCTAAATCCTAGACGATTAACACACAGACAATGGCGTCGTTCATTATATCAAGATGTGGTATATAACCTAGACCACTTCCATCAATCAAGCAAATCAGTTTTCCATTAGACTTTCACTCATCCTGAAGTAAAGGAAGATCAATGCGTGGAACATGCATTTAATTTCAGTTTCATCCCCGTAATAACGAGCATGGCCCCTAACAATTGACTCCCATCAATAAACACAAAGCGTATTTCCCGAGGGCATTTATGGGTGCTTGAAGACAATATATTTCTGCTGATTGAAATATTCATCTGCCCTTATCAAGCCAAAGCTCATATCATGTATTCTTTAGGAATGACTGGGGAATATCTCCACGAAGGGGGAAATCAATTCTATTCATTGAACCAACTTAATTATCATCTGAAGTAGATCCAAGTGTCAACAGCGCCTTTGCCATTAGGCTGCGTGATCTACACAGCTTGACTGACCTGTTTGACGACCTGAACACACGGGGCACGGTACTAATGTCAAAGCTAGCATAATTCACTTCTTTGTCTAAACTTGAATACCCCATTTGGCACGTAATCACGTCATGCCTTATACGTGTGAAGTACATAGGATATGGACACGATGCCATAATGGTCGCTGCACCTGCCAACAGAGAATGTCAAGGGATCAAGAATATCAACCTGAAAATATCACGCAGACGCTTATCCGATTGAGATTGCAAAGTGTGATCAGCCATGCGATTGGTTTCTGTGCAATACACCAAGCGTTTTTTCCCGTTGTCTCATTTAAGTTTAATAGCTTATCTATTGACAGGCAACCACGTCGACTTTGATGTTCGCCAGTTGGGTGCATGGTCGGGAACTGAATATCAATAAGGTGTCAATCTGTAGCTGAGATGTACTCTGCATCATTCGCTACAGCCAACAGACACAAATGGATCGTACTGAGACTTTCGTAACAAGACCTGTTTTACGTATGTCCGTGCTTTGACGCATTACCACTGCCAGAGGTTACAGGCCTAATTCCTGTTTTATCAGATTTTGACCAGACAAACAGCGTTGGACAGATGCATGTATGATGTCTGTGACTTGTAACTTCAGTGTGGCAATTTTCATGATGTACACTTCTTCGCACGTTTGGATGCTGTCTATGGGTGAGTTCACTTAAATATACCTCTTTACCATAAAATATTTTTATTTCTGGTCTTAATTGATAAAGTGCATTTATAAATGAAAACAACTTAATTACATGTGTATCAAGTATAATTGTACACCTGCACCAATGAAAACATAGATTTATGTCCTCGATAAAATATGCCACTCTGCAATTGCGCAAACAGATTTTACTCTGTCAAAATGCAGTTTTCACAATGTCATTAATAAAATGTATACTAAATTATTCTCCAAGTAAAGATATGAAACAATGATATTATGATCATGACAGTTGTAAGCCAAGTAACCCTTATGAATGAGAGAAACTGGTCCAGTAAGTGTGTGTATTCCTATGTTTAACGTCAATTGATTCTACTAGGTTCAAAGTATGCAATCAGAACGCTTTTTCTTACTAGATATTTTGCTGAACGTCAAAGAGTATGACAAGTGTTCACCACCTGTGGTCTGCCACAAAAACGTTTCAGTCAACAATAAACAGTTAAATGTGACAATTTGGCTGGTTTCTGTTGATGAGGAATTTCATGTGTTGAAAACAGGTAACATTTGTTACGTCCTTTTAGAACATCACTCAGTTACCATTTTACATGTTCATCAAAAGTTCGTTCTTGTTTACTTTCAGTCTTCATGTATTTACAAACGTTCCTTTTTATTTGGGAGATATAGAGTAATTATGTTTTGCTATGGTTGCCTTTAACGAGTATTTATTTGTATTCTATTGTATTTGTTTGTGTGGGGTGTGTGTGGTTGAGGGTGTGTGTGGGTGGAGTGGTGGAGGGGTGATTCTGTCACTTTTAGATCAATCAAAAGGGACAAAGTTACAGCAGTGTGACGAAACCATGACATATGACGTATCCATCTGCTTTTTATAGATTTTACAAAATTGTTCCAAGAGGATTTGCCCATTTAGGTAGCCAAAGTACTGTAAGTCCCCATGGTCCCTAGAATGGTGATCTACCTTCAGTTGGTGATCCTCAGCCCTTTTTTTATATTGTATTGTCCTAATTTGAAATCCTATTTTAGAGCCATGTGCTAGTTCTTATTACTGTGATATACTAGTTGGTTTTACCGTCCTTAGTCGACAGGTTTATAAAATTTGCGCATTTATCATGAATTTCTGAATATTTTAAGTCACGATATGGCTGAAATATTGCCGCTGTGAATTTAAATTTTAACTCTCTCACTCCAAGAGGATTTATGTCATTAGTTTAAAGGCAATAACTGTAACTAAGTATATGCCAGGTATATTGAAATGTCACGCGAAGTAGTTCAGTGACAGCAATACGTTGTTTTGAGTTTCAGTGAGATCGGTATATGGGGATGTCATGATCATGGCATCACTCTCTCCCTGTCAGCGTCATTTCAGTCCTTCCTCCTACATCACCGTCTGCCCCTTGGTCTGTTCCACGTTCTTATCCAGCCAGTCAATATATATTCAGTCAGTGCTCAACGCCACAAATACAGAGCAAACCAACTTTAATGCCCTCGTCAGGCATGATTCCATGGAAGATGCCATGACAGGCATTACCGCAATACTCTGGCATGTGAAGTGGAAGACAGTCGTTGTTATAACTTCAGAGTATGGAGGTAGGATGAATAAAACTCATTATTCGGAATCCTAATTCCAATAATTGAGGGGCACAATATTGACTATTCTTGAATTAAAAACAGTCATTTCAAAAGCCAATTACAGATATATAGTATTCAGACACAACCTTGCATATAATACACAGAGATGTTATTAGAAATTCCATTGAACAAAACTCTTTGTGCTGATACGATCGTAACTGACATACTTATGTCAGTTGTAGACATTGCCCCTATTGAATGGGTCTATGTTACTTACATCCGAAATTTGCTGACATCCAACATATTGAATCTGATAACTGAATATCATCTGCAAATCAGCTTTTAACGTTTAAGAACAGACATGTAATAATGATATGATGCTTACAAATTGATGGTGTTTACAGTTTTGACTGCACTGTCTGGAGGTAGACTAGCTTCCATCAAGTTACAGCTGTATGTGATAGATGATCCCAACAATCCACTTGCAAATATTGATCTAGCCAGTATCTACCAGCTGCTTCTGGAGGAGGACCTCAACCTTCTTGTGATGTGTCCACCCGACTGTATACAGAAACTCCTCTACCAGGTAGTGTCTGTAAACTTCCCTGATGTTCTATGTGAGATTCGCCTACAATAACCGCTTTATTGTTTTCTACCTGGAATATGTATTTCATGTTTTACAACACTTAAACTGTGTTCATCGTTTCACATATGGTAACACCGGGACGAGATTGTACTATGATTATGACACCTTCTAAAGGGAAGATTCTGATTTCACAACAATAAACATATGAGTTCATAGATTTACAGCTATTTGTAAGAAATATTTACGTGTTCCATTTCGTCGCTTATTTCAGCACATTTTGTAAAGAAAATAAATAAGGTCATATGGTATTTGTATGCACGTTGTATAACCATTTCTATTTTATTTTCTATTCTACATGAGACCGCCGCCATATATCCTGAATACTTCTGAGTGCAGCGTTAAACAACAACTATCTAACCAACTATTCTATATGGAAAATAGACGCATTAGTATAAAATGGGTTGTTTAATACCAAAATCATTTATTGGTAGGGTCGATTGTTGGAGTCGAACATGTCAGTGGCGAAGGCAATTCGAGGCCCTCAATGGCTGATCGTTCCTTCTACCGGAAGTGTCATGGACCTTGCACACAGCGTCGAGCCATTCCAAACTGAAAATATTGTTTTCTTGGAGTTCATGCCGTGTTCGAGGTCTTATTCCCCATTGGTGAGTAACTTTTAAGCGTAGCTCATTCTTATACCGGAAATAGCTAAACGTCAGGGCACACAACACTCTACAAAACTGGAAAGAAATAACTTTGCTGATTTTTCATTGGTCAGAATGTAAAGTCAGATCAAATGAAAATGCTTGCTTGTGTCCATGGATGATTACAATATGGACATTTTTTCCTTTCCCCGTGGAAAAAGACAAATCATTAATTCCGGACAGTTGACCTATGTGACGGAACCCGTGAAGATCCGGGTTAGATTTGATGTTCAGTAACCCATGCTTATGTTGTAAGAGGCGACAAACGGGATCGGGTGGGCAGGCTCGCTGTCTGGGTTGACACATGTCATCGTATTCCACGATGCTCATGCTGTTGATCACTGGATTGTCTGGTCTAGACTCGATTATTTACAGCCCACCGTCATATAACTGGAATATTGCTGAGTGCGGCGTAAAACTAAACTCACTCGCTCACTCCTATGTGACGTCATTGAAATCAATAGTCTTGTAACTTTGTTACGGTTTGGAAATTACTGAGATAAAAGGCTTCTGAATCCCCTTTAAACCAACAAAATAGAACAGAGACAAGTTTATGATGTTCAGTTATATACTGAAATAAAACAATGTTACAATGAATGACAGTACAGATTTCCGATTACAAACAATTGAGTCAAAAATCTAAATTATTGGGTCACAAATCTAAAACCTTAATCTCACCAAAGACTTGCTATTTCCGGTAAGGACAAATTTACTGATTGACGATTGTTGACAGCTGTTGAAAGTTCAATGTAGACGAGACCTCGGTCTTGAAACGTCGATGTTAGCGGACAGACGAGCGTAAGTCCAAAGTAGTAGTAGTCGCTTTCATACATCTCAACAACCATCCCCTATATGCCTATTATACAGTTCTCGAGAGTTCTAGCGGTAGCCACGCCTCACTTAGACCATTTAGATAACACTACGACCTTATAGAAATCACTGGAATGAATCCCACAGTCCCGGAAGCAACAACAGCAACAAAGAGGAGGCAACTCCTCAGCTTACTGTCTTAACAGGTGAAATTACATGGCCCATGTTAAAGCTTAGGGTTCAAATCCACAGTCAGCGCTTTAAACTTTTGTGACTCATAATAACTAAAAGTTAATTAATGTGACATTTTACTTAACAAAAACACATTTTCCATTATGTGGTGGCAACTGTAATATTGCAGAACCTTGACGTCATCACGCAGCATTCCACAAGCTCAGAACAAACTAATATGACATACCAGGCGGCTGAAATAACAGAATCATTACAGAAGGTATGTCTGAAACTACGGAATAACTTACAGGGGGACTGGGTGGCCGAACTGACAGGCATGGGACACGCGCAACCTGTATACATCCGGTCGGTCACACATGTGGAACTCGACCGCCACCATGTCGTTCGTTGCTGTTTTGTGGATATGGAACTCCTTTCCAATCTTGCAAAAATGGTTGCACGCATTTGTTGTCTACTAAAAGTCAATGACTGCAGATCCAAAGAACATTCAAAATTCTGTTTTACATGAGAATTCTCCGTGTCTCTTAAGAAAGTTACATGAGTGTCCTTCAACAATATGTCGACACGTTCCACAGTTACCTCTGTTACATCTGGACACAGTAGGATTTGATAAATTCTGTTTCTGTAAAAAAAAATTGGCTTTTGTTAGGATCTTTTTAAGATCCTGATTTTGTCTTTTGCTATTTATTATTTTTCTAGATTTCAGCATTGATTTCAGTTTTTCATCTTGGTCTAAGATGCACATATTTGTTTTTATGTTCTGGAACACATTTGGGTTCAACGGATTATAAGTAGATACAAAAGCAGTTACTTTTTCCTCATTGGTTTGTTTCATCGTTCCTGTCAAAAGATCTTCTCTAAGAGATTTTGGATATTCCCGTAATAGTAAAAACATCCTAAGTTCATTCAGTCTTTGTTAGGGGGTGTCCTGGTTTGTAACTATTGCACATATTCTTCGTGTTTTTATTTTTCTATATATATATTCCCACAGGGGCTTGTCGCAAACAGAATTGTGTCGTACCCGTTCGCCATTGACGACCTTGGCCTTAAAGCTGTCCTGCACTTAAAAGAGCAAGGGAGCTAAACATATATTATGTTCCATCAAATCGCTGACTCTTTACAGTGCGGGGCTGGGTAAGGCCAAGGTCATCAATGGCGAACGGGCACGCCACAATTCTGTTTGCGATGAATAAATGTACGTAAACTCATTATGACAGTGAGATGTAAGTATCTCCGAAAGAATGGCGACTAGCGCTGATAGGCGCCATCAGTTCAACATGTTTTGGTGAATGTCGTTTGTGTATACTGTGAAATATACAAGAAAATGGGTGCGTTACAGCTACAAATTCTGACCAGGGATTTTGGCTCGGAATCGAGAAATCACGATTTTTCGAGCTCCCAATGTACTGCTTCGATTTTTGTGCTGTACGTCTCATTTTGTAAGTAGATCTATTGGCTTGAAATGTGTGCATACTTTAAATGGGATACATACAGTGAGTATTGTTGAATTCGCCCTGAAACGAACTTGGTGTGTTGACCTCGTTACATCCCTTTCCTTTTATATAGTACTAAGACCCCGTCAGTGACATTTTATACCTTGATGGCAGTTTATAGCGTTACAAGCCCCCGTGTATATAACTAAGTGTTTGTTTTTAATTATACCAGTGGCACAATTTTGTGTACAGTCCGTCTCACACCCATGTTACATGCGTGTCAAACGCGTTCTCGGGGAACTTCTACAACTAGGCAGTAGTGTATGTCTGTTCCAAGTTAGATTGAAGCATATAGTTGCAGGTAGAACCATACAACCTACCACTAATAGCCAAGTTATTAGCCCTTAAAAAACACTCTATGTGAGAGAGTTCGGTTTTACGCAGCTTTTAGCAATATTCCAGCAATATCACCCGCGGGACACCAAAAGTGGGCTTCACACATTGTACCCATGTGGGGAATCGAATCCGGGTCTTTGGCGTGACGAACGAACGCTTTAACCACTGGGCCACCCCACCGCTCCAACTACTGTATGTGACATGTAAATGTAAAGTATAATCAGTGTTAACTATGTTCCAAAAGAATGTCGGTTTGGCCTTAAGGAATAAAATAGTGCAATATATGTGAATAAATCACGGGAAATGGGCGGCGACACAAGGTGTTCGCCAGACCGTATGTGTTACCTAACACGGCTGTAGTGTTTGTCTTCAGTGCAAAATCCATTTGTTAGCTGAACTGGACACCATCTATTATTTCAGAGTGCAACCGACGGCGAATACTCCGTTCAAGCTAAACTAAAAGTTCTTGGCAGAGGCCATTCTGGGACAAATGTTGAAACTGTTGGCTACATTGGCAGAGATGACTCTGTGGAGGTCAAGCATCCGCTCTATCATGCCAACAATGATGTATTTCACAACAGAACATTAATTGTCGGGACTCTGGAGGTGTTTAATATGCACTTCCATTTTGTGTTGTTTTCTCCTGTGGTGTTTAGTGTAGAAAGTGTGCACGAACGTATTGATTTTCCTATAATGGTTTAACACAGAATAATATTCTGTATGCCATTATTAATCATATTCTAAGTGTTGTTTCTGCTTTTAACCGTGGCTAGTTTGTTGTAGACTGGGCAGAAACTGATTAAAAACACTATAAATCAAACATCACGTTTCGCGTTTAGTTTCAAATTTTATTCCACTCAAATTTGCAGGTAACAAATATATAAACTGAAAACATCGGAACGCATGACCATTCTACCATTTTAATTCTAACAAGTAAATGGGAACTTTTGCAAAACCACTGAGTGATGCGGCATGGGTTCAGTAGAATGTTTAAATGGGTTGCCCATTTTCATTCCTGAAGTCCTTTCAACAAATGGTGCTGTATTTTCTTCAAATAAAGCATTATATGGATCAATACGCTTCACTCGTGCATGTGATGAGCATAGAAAGTGTGTTGCACACCTACTAAATATGTATCCTCAAAAAGATGATTCAGCAAGCTTACACGGTTACACTCTGAAGTCTCTTTTAAGACATCACATTGTTCAATGTGACACAGAAAATATTACACAGAAAAAAGAGCTCAAAATTTCAATCACTCTCATTCGAAACATTTTCTTTCTAATCCAAATTTCAAACTTCTGCTGAGCGAGTTTTATTAATGGCAAACTATTTCAATGATTGAATATGCCATTTGTCAGATGAGAGGCAACATGAAAATGAAACAGTAGAAGCAACGTATTCATTACAACGTCCTTGTATTCACACAGTGGCCGCCATTTGTGATCAGGAGAGTGGAGAACGGTTCTGTGAAGTTTGACGGTCTTTGCATTCAGCTGTTGCAGGAACTGGCGAAACAACTCAATTTCAGGTATCAGTGTTTATTATTCTATATTTTGGTGTTTGTACCATAACGAGGTTGTCAATTAATTTCCACCATGCCAAATGAAACCAAGGTTTTACGATTACCCGTCGACTGAACTATCCTTGTGTTTGTTAGCTATGTCCTGGTTGAGCCAGAGGACAAGGAGTGGAGTCGGATCCTGAATGGCAGTTGGACGGGGCTGGTGAAGTTACTAACTGATGGGGTATGTTACAATCATTATCCACAGTTACATTAATGATATTATGTGAGCTGGTATACATTGTGAGCATCCGCAAACATACGCAGTAATACTACTTGCACTGGGCATTTATGATCGATAAACAAGACGGCGATTGGTGTGATCTTAAGAGCAACGTGAATGGTCTATATTCTTGTCATCCTTACCAATATGATCTGGAAAAACGATTTGAAAGTGGCCGTTCAATGAATGTTCCAGAACAGTATCTGTCATAGTGACTGCATAATAAAAATAGTAAACGCATATGGATTAAAAAGATAACTCGTTTCAAATGACATAAGAGTTCTCTTACTTTGCAATGGGCACAAACTGTATCTGTCTCAGTTGCATGACAAGTTGACTGGTCCACATAACAAGCATTTAATTAGAAGACACGAGATATTTGAAAGCCGTGCCAGAGTTTTGCATTTGCTGGAACATACTCCTCTTTTAATGTGCGCACATACATCTTCCATAGTAAGTCAGGAGACATGTAACTGTTTCTTACTTCCAGGAGGCTGATGTGGTTGTGGCACCGATGGCTGTGAGTCAGAAGAGAGCGTCCGCCATCGATTTCACAGTGCCATTCTTCTACGCCCATTCAGCTCTCATTCTCAGCAAACAAGATCCAAACACTAACAAATGGATGACCCTACTCTCCCTGTTCCGTTACGAGGTTCTCATTTGTATCCTCGTCTCACTCATCTTCTCCACTGTCTTCCTCTTCGTCATAGAAGAAGTGACACCAGTTCGTTCATGGACGGAAGACAGGCCCACAGATATGCATACCCGATATGGAGATATACTCTGGTATCATTTTGGAGCTCTTATGGCGAATGGTAAATCAAAATTGCTCAATACAACGCTAACAGCAAAAGAGTATATATATATATATACACACACATACTTGGTAAGGTGTTAGGTGGTAAGGTATTTATTGATTTTGATATTGTGGGAAAACAGGTTTGACAGCTCCACGCAAGACACCACTGCAGAGCAATTAGGCAATACACATATAACAACAAGCGGCAAAATGAAATACAGCTTCTGTAATTGTCCTGTAGATTCAGTGCAGATACGCCCCATAAATATACATGCATGTACATCGATGTGCAACCTTTTCACAACTGTTTCAGGAGGAGCATACCTTCCAAACACGGAGTCCGGGCGCACAGTGCTCAGCTGTTGGTGGCTGTTCACGGTAATAATGGCGGCCACCTACAGTGGTAACCTCATAGCGTTCCTCACCGACGGGCGAGAGAAAACGCCCTTTTCTAGCCTGGCTGAGATGGTGCAGCAGGACACATACAATTGGGGATTTGTGGGAGGCGCATTTCTAGTCACGCTCTTTCAGGTCAGTACATGAACACTAAGTCTGAGTAAAGTTTTACCACAAACCAGCATTTCTTGGTGTCAAGCCAGTAGAAACTATCCATTATAACCCTGGATGAAACGGAGACAGTTCATATCCAGACAAACTGACTCCTCTTTAAAGATGCAATCATAAGTTAACCTTTCTGGAGTTCGGGTAACTCATGTATTCATTCTGTAGTGAACTACTGATTCACAAATAATGACAATGCCGCTTGCACTGATAATATCCAATGGTGCATGTGAGGAATGTATGTTTTCAGGACTCCAACATCTCTGTCTATCAGAAAATATGGCATCGCGTGGAGGAAATGACGACAAATGACCCTGGTTGGTTGAGTCACGATGGCTCTCTTATTATCAGGATTTCAAAGAGCGCCAAACCAGTCTTGCTGAGAAGATGTTTGATCAAGGATCAAAGCCTCAGTAAAGCGTTCAGGAAGTTTTATGGTAAACATATGGAGAAAACTTCCAAATTTGATGCATCAGTGACAAAAATGAAGTCCCTATTTTGCCTTATATAATACGTACCATAAGGCAAATTTATTTCCGGTAAACAATAGACGAGACTTTTGTTAGCATATGTTCAGCATTATGTGCCACCGGTGGTACAGGATACGCTCACTTTACGTGAGCACCTGGTATCATCACTATTTTATAGTGATTCATAAACACATGGTCTTTCGTCGTATCACATGGTGACAATCACTGGTGCAGATTAGATTTGTACAGCTGTAATACTGCTGAAACAAATGAAAACACATGATACAGTCAAAGTTGTACAATCGAGGCTGCTTTTAGCAGAAATTTCTTGTGGATATGGAAAAGATTTTTCGCTTTTATTTATTGTTAGTATAAAAGTATCGTTAATATTCGGGACAATTATTTGTAGGTACATTTGCATAACAAAACAACACATCTCTCTTTGTATGGATTTTCATGGAGCTTTGGAATCGAGTGCTAAAGGGGAAGGGGTATGTCTTCAGGTTTTGGAGTCGAAGTTGGCTCGCACTGATGGATGATTGGGGCAGAGGTCTACTTCAGTTAACATACTGCCCTTATATTTTGCATATTTATATCTGTACATGTCACTACCAAGGTCAGTGGTCAAACAACAAATGTGTCAATGCTTTGACTGGATCCATGACGATTTTAAACCCGTGTAGTCCCATTTTGTAGAAGGTTGTTCCAGCAAGTACAGTAAGCGTTGTTTAAATTTACCCAGGGGATCTATTTTTCTGGATTGTGTATATACAACGATTGGAACAAACGTGTTAGCGAAATGATTAACGGTCACATGCAACCAAACAAAAACCATAATTATAACACAATTATCACTTATTCATGACATATAATATACATTGCTGATTATGAAATAAACAAAATTATAAGCGTACAATCGCAAATCAAAAGTGCAATATTTGGTACTTGGGTTGACTTCCCTCGAAACGAAGCACCCGGGAGACCGAACCCAGTCAGAGCGGGTGGGCGTGCACTCAAGTGTAACGAAGTCTTTCATTGACTGGTTCCTTTGCCGATACACTCAGGGCTCTTTTTGTGTGTATAGAGATGTTGGTTTTTGAAAATACATGCTCATTTTTGTGTATAACATTTTGCAATCAACGGACATCTTAACATGTCATGTGTACACGTATCACACCTGCCTGTCTGTGCAATTACATAATGTGACAGAGACAGAACTTGGGTGCACGAGCCATAAATCAATGCGTTTTGTTTATGGTTTATAGACTGATAGGTGTTAAGTTCAAATTGCATGTGGTCAGTGATCGAAGTTGTGTATTGCATACTGTCATTAACAGACAGGCAGGAAGACACATTTTCACTGCGCATGCGCCATGAGCGCAGTGCAGCGCAGTGCAGCACAGCTGTTGAAACCACTTCTCCCCGGCTCGGGTGAATATAGTGAATCGTTTGAACTCCGATTTTGCGGGGCTTTTTTCATCGCGTTATTTTTCAATTTTATAAGGTGAATTTGCATTTATGATCATTTGTTATTGTAAGTCAATACCGAATGGTATCAGAATCTGCAAAGTAGTGTTTTACGGTGCCTGTGACGAGGTGTAGGATAGAGGGTTTACTTTCTATTCACTGTTGCAGAGTATTGAAGGTGTACGAGAGCGGCCTCCTGCACAGGTGGTGGGATCGGTGGAAACCTAAACATCGGTGTACGCCACCCAGCAGAAAATCGAAGAGGATCGACATTTTAGCCTTGCAGAGTGCCTTCTATATTGCAGGGATCGGTGTGGCTATATCATTCGTGGTACTTGTGATTGAAACCATTCATAATCGGAGAAGTCAGCAAAGACTGCAGATACAGTCTGAAAGTGTTGAAGGAGAAGAGTCAGTTTGTTCCGATACTTCATCCCAGGATCTACCCAACACAGATATAACTACTACCCCACCTGACAAATGACATTGTTGCACTGGAAGATCCTTATCGTGGCTTAACCTTATGTAAACCCACCTTAACAGCATCGGCAGAAATGCAGAGGCTTCAAGTATGACACTGTTACTGTTATTTAACCATTTGTTCTTTTTAGGGCTAGACTATTTAGATAGTCATGAATTATGTAATCAGTATGTGCTCCGTACTTCAAACACTGATAAATACTGAAGCTGTAGGTCATAACTAGATCATGCAGTTAACATATGCATGTATGCCTGCCTCCCTATGGATAGAAGAAGAAAACATCTATGGAAAGATAATTGAACAACTTACCCGCCTGTTCAAATGCATATATGATTAAAATAAAAACTACGCCAATATATCTTTTTATGTGTTGTCTTCAACCTCAGAAAAATTAAAAACAAGACGAAATACAAATTTTAAGATAAATAAATGTGTTTCATTCATTGTGCAACTGATCACATGAATTCTTTACATTTAGATCACGTAATACTAGTCTTTAAATTCATTGATGGACAGCCGCTTTGCTTTGAAAAGATTTTTTTTATAAATGTGGACATGTTTCCTTATAATATTGCAAGTCCTTTCTTCAGCCCATCAGGGCATAGCTCTTCGTCAGCGGTGGGGACAGAATGAGAGACAAAAACACTAGAAACAATGGGAAACAGGGGAAAAGATATGGACAGCCTAAATGAAATTCACAAATCATTCGCGTCTTGTGATATAAAGTACTTCATTTTCCACATATTAAGTGTGAAAGCTGATAACATGTTGACAGATCAAATACAGTATGTGGACATTATTGACAGAGTGAGCGAGAACTCTTCCTTATCAATATTCAATCCTTTCATTGTGGTATGTTTGAGGACATTTCAGTCAACACTACCAGGAATCAAGGCCTCATCAGTGCAAAGACTTCCCATCTTGGCTCCCCGACACGTGGTTGTAAACAACGTAGGACACGTTAATGTTCAGAATTAGCGATGCTTCTCTGTGTGCAAAGTATACTGGCACAGTCATATTTCAAGCTGTTAGTTTTGTTTGTGTGGAATCAAGAGACATGTTTAGGGACTTGATATTCAGTCGAAATCGTTCAAATGTGCTTTTAACCATTCAATTGATTTATCAGGACAAGGAAGCGCACTATGCCTATTGAGACATAATCAGGAACTTGCCGAGACTAGTT